AATCACCCGAACAGAGTCCTGGAATGTAAAACAACGTGTTTCACCTCGGTTTTGACAATAACTTCCTATCTGCTAAGTCCCCGATGCGTTCTAATAGAATAGGAAGGGTTTTTAACAGTGGACTCCCAAATAAAATTAAACATCCTATTGGATGATTGGCGCATCGACATATCTACGAAAGGACAGTGGAGTAGTGGAGTGTCCAGTGGAACAAATGACCCACGCGGTGGCGTTACTCGAACCACTTTGTGGGAATGCGCGGATCGAGATGTCGCGATTTGGGAAGAATTGAAGCGAGCGCACTCGCGTTTCACGGGTGCACGCGCGAATTAAGCCACTGGTGCGGCGGAGGGTCACGTTCCTCCTGCTCCTCCTCTTCCTCCTCCTGCTCCTCCTCCTCCTCCTCCATCATCCCCCTTCTGCGGAGCACAGCACGCCACCAAAGCCAACTAATCCCCCAGCCCGATTCCTCAACCACGTGTCCCGGCCATTCATGTTTGCACCCAAAAGCAGCAGTAGGCAAATTTTTCACATGCAGGATAATGATTGGGTGGACCTTACCAACATGTCCATGTTTCGGTCATCAAGAAGAGAAAACAGCGATTGGGTGTTCTGCATCTAACAAGCCTGTTTGGTGTTTTTGTATCAGTAAGGGCACTTCATCGTGGTTTCGACCTGGAAGCACCGCGTTTTCAGCTGCAGAGCTGTGGTGGCACCCAATGGACCAGGGTGGTGAGCATTGCGTCACACTCACGGGAGGATTTTCAGCGAACGATTGACGCTGAAAGCCCTGAATCAAGAGCTTTTTCATTTACAGTCTTCCGAATCAATTTAAGTAGGGTAGAGATAATTAGGTGCGCAGTTGCAATGTGCTGGATGCGATTGAACTGCATTCAAGTGAAGGTTATTTGGTCTCATGCCTGTGACACCAAGTTCCATCTTCAGAAACGGGTAGACTTCGCGGCATTAGGACTCATTTCTCAATGAAGAGTTGGGGACGTGAAGCCATCTCCTTCCCAGGAAGAGCCAACGATGCACTCTGGGCAAAGAAATGCTCCAGCCGTCAGTGCCATGGAAAATCTGCCAACTTATCCCTCCAGCTCAGGGGTTGAGATCAGTCAATGCTCGTTGTAGTGATCATCGATTGTCTTTTGTCACTTTTACACTCCTGGGCTGCATATCACAAAATGTTGACTGCTAGCGTTGTCTTGCTGTCCAAGTTGAGGAAGACACTGTAATGAATGTAAAAGCGAATCTGGAGGACTGTGTGGCGATCAAATTGAAATTTCGCTGAGGCTGATTATGAATGGGGGTGGGAGGCGTTGTGAAGATCCCCGTGCGTAATTTATTTGCGTCGCGATTTTCAGTGTACTTATTTGTAAAAAGTAGAACTATGTAAAATGAAAAAAGCTTTCAAAACAGCAGCGAGTTTTGTTTTCATTGAGTATTATTGTTTGAGTTTATGCACCTCATTGAAAAAGTTACCTCGCAAAATTCCACATAAACATTGTGCGAAAAACACGATCCTCGGTGCCTGAGCTGATCGGTTCGATTAAGCACAACAAACCTGCTCTTTTTTCCCAGGAGACCCGTGACATGAGCCACCGTGCGTTTGACGCTGCCACGCGCAGCAACCTCAGCAGCTGACATTTCAGTGCCGGTTAAATCAACACGAAATTCGCCCTCTCAGGGCATCGAGTCGGTAAATTACGTGAGTCCCTTAGGAGAAGTCGGTATATATTCATTTAAATAATTAACATTAAAAGAGGACCGAATTTTCAGGATGCAGAATTTAAGTTAACGCAGAAGAGATTCCTACACGATAGTGCCTTTATTGAATTAAGTAGGCAAAACACTGGGAGACATTAAGTGAGTAGAGATTGCTTTGGTTTAGACATTAAATTCTGTTTATTGTTGCAAACCCTTAATTGGCCCGTCAAAGACAATCAGCAGTCAAATGAACAGCAACGCTCGCACAATTACTAGCTGATTCTAGTTGGGTGAAATGGTTCGGTTTAATCGGTGGGAGATCTTTTGTCCCTAGACCGATTAGTAGGCTGAGTTAAAAACCGAATTGTCTCTGTTCTGTCATGTTGTAAAAACAAAATTTTACTACAACTAAGGACATGCTAACAATGTGTGCGATGCGTGCTGTCGCTTGCCGCAGCCTCCCACTGTTCAACCAAGTTGTTATTGTTGGTCCCATTTCGACCCACTTCTATCCTGGTTTATCCCCGAAGTCACAGTTGTGTCAGTCATTAGAATATTCATCGTTTTTAGCCAAAACGTTGGACCCTTGGCCATCTAATTCTTCCAGAGTAGTTCCAAAATGGCCACCACGAACAGGTGTTTTCCTGGTGCAGAATCACTCGTTATGGTGATCATTCAGTTTCTGTTTTCCTTGTCACATGACTTCGAGTTTTTCTTGCAGACGAACAAATTTCCCTCAACCCAGAACATGCGTCGACAAATCCTCCTCCAGACTGGACTTTTGTTCCTTCAAACATTTTCCTGACGGATCCTACATTTCACCTAATGGACACTAGCTTACAGCAGAACCTTCTTTCCACCAACGTGTATTTTGCGTGTCTATGCTTTGTTAGGTAATTGCAGTTTCCAAATATCATGTAGGAACCCATAGCACACAAGTTCATTGTTAATTCTCATATATTGTTGATGAAATTTTACTTTTATTTCCAACTACTTACTATAAAATAGTAAACAGTTTTTTAGTGTCAAACAGACTGGATGCTGATCTATTGTAATCCTGTGTGTGGGTTGGGTGTCGCACTTGGTTATTGTTATTATTGACCAATACCGCTTGGTAGAACTAGCTGAAGTATCAATGACTAAATGGGTTCATGAATAAACTGAGTGGCGGAGGAGGCACATACACGGGAGTGCATGAGCAAACGGTTCCGCAAGACTAAAGAGCACGCTGTGAAAGGGAGGGAGCAGTTCGTCGGAGTAGGTGGCGACATAGTTGATAAGCTTGAATTAACAATTCACTATGGCAGAATCGAAGTACGATTTGTTTAACTGCTTTTTTTCGCACTTAAAACACATTGTTGCTATACCGATTGTAGCAGTTACCATGTCATTCTTATGCGCTTCGTTGAGCAAAACAGCAGTTCAAATGACACGCACATTTCGTCGCTTTCGGATAGCCTCATTCGTTTTAATGTAATCGTCATCGATGCATTCACCTGTATAAAGAAAAAAAGTTTTGTATGTGAGTGTTTCCACAAGATTCGCCTTTAATGGAAGCCATGCCTCTTAAAGGAAGGCATTTTGAATAGATATTTGCGAACAATGATCACCTTTATAAAATTTTTACATCGTACTGAAGAATTTGAGTTGTTGCCAGCCCACACCAACGCCTTCGTAAAGTAAAAGACGATTTAAAATGATTTTAATATGAATAGGTAAATATATGCAATGGGAGGCTTTGAAATTATGGTCCATGAAGGCCACATAGACATTTAATGAGGATGACGCCATCGACGTTTGGTGTGATGAAAATTGGATGTAGATTAAATTAACAATACCAAATGGTAATAGCAAATATACACTACATGGTTAGTTTTTTTTAAAATTAAGTTTTTGCATCCAAGGCTTATAGGTTCAGTCGCTTATGTGAGGACCCACCTCTCCTAAGCAAAGCCTACAATGCAAGTGCACTCGAATCTTTCATTTTATATACCAGAATCACTTAGATATAGTCAAGATAATCGCAGTGCAATGTTGCCAACATGTATAAGAGTCCTAAGATTAGCTTTTAAGTTGCGAATTGCATAAACCTTAAGCATTTTGTGGGGTATTTTAATTGCGATTCCACTTTTATTCTATAATACGTAGTAAGTCGCTATATTTCCGTTTTTAAACCACCAGAATTCCTCGAAACAAAATTGCTTCTTAAAATTATTAGATTCTGGTATTATTAGGCCTGTTTGTTAGTTTGCCTATTTGTTTTATTGCACACCGAATTTTGCCCAAATGCTTTTCCCCCTTACTATTCTTCTTACTGTTAAAAGAAAAGGGCAGTTCATTGGGAATATCTAAGAAAACCCACCAAGCATGGACTTAGGCTTCAATAAAAATATAGGCCTGCGTCTGATTTCTTTTCTCTAACCTAAAACATCAATTTGAGTCAAAATTTGCAATTTTATCTATTTATTGACGAAATCAGGGACGGTAAGAACATGAAACCAACTCAAAAAAGTTGCATAAATATGCCACCGTTAATTTTCTAATTAAACGATCAGACTGAACAGAAAATGAATGGTGATTTCCCTAGGCTTGTAGGTTTCTCGGAAAAACACGAGCATTGCCGTGTAGACTAATCACAATTAAATTATTTGCGTACATGTTCCGGTTCACAAACACCAATCAAGCCCCAGACAGTAGTTATTGGACAAAAAACCCAAAAAAGCTTTTTTATAACCATCGTTAATGATAAATAGTCTTTACAAATTGGAATGGGCATAATCTTCAATTCTGCTAAAATTAATGACAGCAACTTCATCAAAGAAGCTGCATGCAGACTTCAATAAGCAAAACAGGACACCTAAAAGTTACCGTGTGTAAAATGTCCCCATTAAATATTGACAGCAAACAGTATTGAGAACCAAAACCATTTGGTACTAATGGAGTTGCTGGTAACATTTTCTGTTAACTTTTTAGTACGGGTGTAAAGACGGTGAACACAAATTAGCATTTAAATAATAGGCATGAAAACTTTAAACCCCTAAATAACCAACAACAATGCGTAAGACTCCTCAAATGCAACCTGTGTAGATAGCTTTAAGTCATTTTAAACACTATATTTTGGATTTTCCGTGATGTAATTAAGGATTCTAAAACGACAAAAAAAATTAGATGCTTGAGAGAGATGATTGTTTAACTGTATCCCAGCCTTATTTTTGGTTGGCTCTTGGCCTGTGTTCATGTGCTAATTTTCCCATTCTTTTAGATCTAATCATCGTAGTTAGTTGGACGTAATGCCCGAGTATAAACTTGTCGTTGTTGGAGGTATGGCCATTATTAGTACTTAAAAATTCCCGTTTTATTTAGCCGGTGGTGTCGGCAAGAGTGCACTAACGATACAACTAATTCAAAATCAGTAAGATATTTACTTTCGCATTTTATTTTTAAAATTAGTTTTGTTGAAGAGTACGATCCAACAATTGGTGAGGCGATTTCGATCAACTAATGCTGGTATTTAGAGGATTCATATAGGAAACAGGTAAACATTGACGGTGAAACGTGCATGCTCGACATTCTTGACACTGCGGGTCAAGAAGAATATAGGTATGATACATTTTATGTGTTACTGCTGATAGTGCCATGCGTGATCAGTATATGCGAACAGGCGAGGGCTTCCTCTGTGTCTTTGCAGTAAACAACGCCAAAAGTTTTGAAGATATAAGTCAGTATAGAGAACAGATCAAGCGAGTTAAAGACGCGGACGAGGTACCTATGGTGTGTAAGTTCCTACAGAATTTTCAAAGCATTCTTAAGTAATCGGAAATAAAGTGGATCTTGCAGTTCGATCGGTTGATTCCTCAAAGGCGGAATCCGTCGCCAAAGAGTACAACATTCCTTATATTGAAACATCTGCCAAAACTCGCCAGGGTGTTGAGGACGCATTTTTCACGCTTGTTCGGGAAATCCGCAAATTTGTGAGTAATTGCTTGTAACTTGCTAAGTGCTAAGTCATTGCTTTTCCTCGTCGATTTTTCATCACGTACCTTTGTTAGGCTTAATTAGGTAACCACCATACAGCCTTCCAGTTCTTAAAAGAGCAACATTTATACCCGGTTTCTTGCTGCCTGTTGATACTTAAGTTTGAGTTTAGTATTATAAATGTTCATACAGAATTTCCCCTCATTGTCGATACGTTAAAAAATGCAATTCGGTTTTCTTGTGCCTTCATTGCTTGCATCTTGGCTACATTTTCAACGTCTTTATTTGCCTTTATGTTTAGCTCTGTAAGTTTTTATTATGTTTCCTTTGATAGTCTTTGGTTTTGTATCTTTTGCCCTTCAATATTTTATTCAATCACTAAGATTTTTCTATAGTAGCCACACACCTATATTCAACCAATTGTAAATAATTTAGCGGCTATCAAATTCAGGAGGGACAGTTAATTCATTCAATACATTTATGCGATATTAGTGTGCCACAAATCGATACTTTAATGTCGCACGATTGTCTTCACTGTGTGTTAAAGTTCGTTAGAAAATTTTTGGAGCGAAAATGTGTTTGGCTGATGAACTGCTAACGTCTCCGAGTTGTCTGAGTGCACATGTCGAGTTCGACTGCTTAGTATGTCAAAGTTGTATTTTTAAATTATCCTTGTTGACGCAAGACAGCCATTTGACACTGTATAATTCCAATTCGGTGACATTCAATGGTATATTCAGCTGATTGTTCGTTTGAATTCGCATCCAACATAAACCTCCTTCTTTCCCTCATTTTTTCGTCATTCATTAATTCTGGAAAATAATTACTTGCCTGGTAATAAATTTTCTCAAAAAACTAACAGTTTAAATGGCATTGCTTCCCGAAATTTCTCTTCGTGCTGTATTTGATTATTATCCTTAACGTTATAATTTTTATCAACCCTGTCACTAATCACCCTCAACAAAAATGTGCCGAGCAAATACTGATTAATTTTGGTTAAACCAGTATGCTTTTCGTTTCTCGGGCCTTCTTCTTGCCCAATTCTGCTGGGTATCACTTTTTGTCCATATTAGATCTCCTTTCCGAGATCCGTAAACAGTTGGTACTACTGTGTTACAAGGCAAGGAGTCTTCTTGAAATGGTAACACTTTCACTCCTCTGTCTCTTTCTCCTTGTGTGTGTGTGTGAGGAATTCATTCTCCTAATTTCAAGAAAACCTTTTTTAGCACAGATGTGTTGTTTTCAACGGCTTGCTTTTGGTTGAGAAGTCATCGCCTAGTCGTCTTCCTATTGGGGTTGTATGTTCCGCTAACAAATATTAACAATTTGCGCACTTTGCCTATTTTGACTTTGTTTTAAAAATTGTCATCGAGTCTGCCGATTATAACGACTGCCCGTGTATATCTGTCCTCCAAAAAATTATTTACTCCCGTTTTGCCATTATTCGAGCCTTGAATCCTTTCATGTCCCAAGCCCTGCTACCTCTATCCTTTTTAAAGCTCCCATTAGGTTCTAAAGTATGCGCACAATTTCTCCTCCATGATATCTTCAAAAGAGACGTCTCTGGATAGTCATCGTCGTTGTTCTGGAGACGTTTTTAGTTGAACAGTTTTGAGCGTTACTTTGGCCAAGCTGTTATTTATGCTACTTCCAGTAATTTGTGGAGCCATCTGTTAGGCTTAGCTGGTGCATAACTATTTGAGTGATAAAAGTACATAATCTGGAGTAGGGTCTGTAAATTCCTTAAAAACCTTGTGTGTACTGATTCATTAATTCAATCCCACTACTGGCATGCTTATTAACCAGTATTGAAACCAGGTGAATGGCCTCCTCAACAGGGTGTATAACCTCCCACGTGGCTCTGAGTTTAAACTGTTGCTCTGTTTTTTTTTTGAGTGCTTAGCCTTAGACAACAGTGCACTTTGCTTCCTGTGTGGAGGATTTAACTGTATTGTAAAATTGGCAAAGCCCCAAACCCGCCTTCAACCCCTGGCTTGGTGCATTTAGTGTTCCTACATGAAAGTGTTTTGCAGTTTTCGTCTCTGACAGGAGTACTAGACACCGTCCTGTATTTTGACGCCTCTTCCCAGTACTTCTTCGACCGGAATGTTGTATCTGTGCATACTGGGAATCTCTTTGCCAGACTTAAAAGCGTCGTGTCAGCCTTTACTTTTGCCTCTTTTGCCTTTATCTCCAAAGCGTCATTCACCTATGATTCACTGGACAAGACGTCCAATTGATGAAACCTTCGTGTTGCTTTGTGCGTGGCCTATAGTCGAGGAAGTAGCGAGTTGTTGGGGTTGTATCGTACAAATTGAGTTACCAGGTGACATCCTTGTTGAAGGGCCAGTTTTTCGAGATCGTTGCTCGTCTTTTTCGATACGCCTCGTAAGTTTTATGTCTCGCTATAATTCCATTACCTGCGGTTCGGGCTACACCCGCACCTACCGTATCATTTGTCCATGGGGTCAGGCGTGGTTGGTCATTGCTGTCATTGTGGAAGGTTTAGAATTGTAACAGACTCAACAGACAATTAAACCTAAGCTTTGTCAATCTCTCATCCCTGTCTAGAAAGTATTAGTCGACTGCTAAAATCCCACGTCCACTTTTTGTACATTATAAAAAGCCTTCTTGAAATGGTAACACTTCATTTCCTCTGTCTCTAAGGAAGAAAATGTATTCATCGCATCCCTACTTCTGACAGTAAGCACACGAATTCGTTGGATGTTTCTTTTGATCCAAAGTTCCTTAGTTGCTTTTGTTTATTTGCTGTTTGATCTGTTTGCTGCTCTTTTTTTCTCGACGGCATCAAGGTCTGCACTTTTACATGATTAGTCATGGTATGGACAGGCCTGCTTAAGGCCTTCAGAAAACCCTCTACTGCGGGAACGAATGGGGCCATTAATTTGTTTTTAGCGTGTTTAGGCCAGATATTACCGCCGCCTTGCGTACCACTTGCCATGTGATTCACCATTTGGCACGGTACCAACCCGTCTTGCTCCGTGTATGCGCGTGCAGGCTTGTACGTCTCATGTTGACGTATAAATTAGCCAGCTAATATGTGAATCAAGTTCTCGGAAGCTACTGTTTTTGCATTCCATCGCTGCAAGGTTCTTAGTTCGATAGCAAAACCTACATTTTTCTTCCTGAGAAGGCGTTCGGGCCATACAGGAAACCTACACCTTCGCATGGTAGCAGTTAAACAAACTCCTCAAGTTGAAATTGGGGTGGTTTTCCTGTTCAGCTTTACTCAAAGAAATTCCGATAAAAGTCCCATTTTGTATTCGTGTACCACAGCATATTTGTTGTGACCGATAGATTTGATTCCTTTGCGTCCGAATGCTGGGAAGACCAACCGGAGCCTAGAACCGTTTTTGTCGGTTCAGTGTCAATGATTCCACTAAGAACGTTGGAATTCGAACAGTTGAATCCAAGAGGTGGCTATCGAACCAGTCACTTGGCACTACAAAACCTCAGTGTTGATTGGAAGTTAGGTCCCTACAATGGCAGTCAAATTACTCGGCCCATAAAACCAAAGAGTTAAATGTCGACTCCGGGTGCTCGTTGTACTAATACATTCTACTTAACTTCCTCACTACCCACGACGGATGGGTTTGCGTTTCGGGCGATCCAACTTGACCTTTGGAATCGCACTTAATTTTAGGCTTTATCAGCCACACATCTCCGCGCTTACTCAATTACAAGACATGTGTCTTCGCTCTGTCCATCGCTAACTCAGCCGACTGTTTAGTTTGATGAATTTGGTTGGTTATTAGTTTGGATGTGAATGTAGTCGCCATCGGTGCTTTTTGGTGTTCACACGTTCTTCACGCGGTCTCCCCGGTGTAGCAGACGTAATGGGAGTTGACTTCGTATTCTTGTTGAGACATGGCTGTGATTCGTGTTGTCGATGTGCCATAATAGCGTGGAAGTTGTGCTGTGTGTCGACGTGAGGGAGTAATCCGTAGTAGTGTGGATGTGACTATCTGCAGTGAGTTGGAGGTGGTCATGGGGAAATTGCCGAAGAGACTGTGAAGGGTGTTAGTCGGTTGGTGTGAAGTGCTGTGTGGATGGCGTAGGTGGCGAAACCTGGTGGTCGAGCGTGTGAATTGTTGACGCAGCGTGGGGTCAGACGGTGTCGTGAAGGTGGATATAACCGTTTTTGGTGTCGAGTGTTGGACACGCGTTTCGAAGATCGTGCAACATTAGCACTAAATTGAGGTTGGTGGGTGAATTGTCTTCGGCCCGCATGAATGCGTAGCACCGACGCGGCGCTTTCAGTAGGTGAAAGGTGAGGAGAGGTTTGGACTTGGTGGTGTTGTTTTGAGAGTTGACGTGCATGACGGAGTTGCGCCATTTGGACATTATTCCTTCGAATGACATTGGGCTTAAGTATTAGCCTCTGAAAATAGTAAGAAGAATCTTTTGATGTGGTGTCTGCTATATTTTGGTAACATTAGTTGGTAATAGCATTAGTTAAGAGTTATTGTTTAGATTAGTCAAACAGCATATGCTGATTTATTGGAACCTGTGCTATGATCCATCTCAACTTAACTTGTGACCTCAGGTTGCTGGTCTTCTTCTTTGTTCTTTTTTCCGGTCTCTTGGGGTCCAGGAGTTGCTGATAATTGCTTCAATATATCAATTCATTATTCGCTTGAATACGGTTGATTGAAAAATTGACACCACTTTTGGAACTCACATTTGTGGACCGCTTCGTGGTGTATCCTTATTCTTTCCCTTCCGTGCACTCATGGCATTGTTTCGAGTCGGCCAAGCTAACTCACAGCAGCTATCATCGTGAACTTGGTAATTAATTTGTGTTCAGTGTAAATTCACCTTGTCTTCAATGAAAATCTACTGCTTCTGTGTGGTTGTATGCCTATGTCGTGAAACCTGTAACATTATACTGAAGGCGTAAATGCTCAACCAATCGTATTCGGTCTTTGCAGATTAACCGAAAGGAGACGTCTGAGTTACAAGTCGGTTAGGATGGTGGGTTAAGATTGCGAATGGCACAAGTGTGAATGTGCGCTTCATCTCCATCCCATTCCATCACTGACCGCCAATCAAGTACGATTTTTTTCTGACTCAATGCATCATCAGACGCAGTGCAAAACCCAAACAAAGTTGTTTCTTCGTTTTGTCCTCATGTTGTCTGCTTTAATGGAAGGTACAAGTAAATTTAGCCCTAACTCGAATTACGGTCGAGTGAACAGGTAGAAAGGAATCGTTTCATCGGAACGAAAATGCTCGGGTTTCTAGTGAGGTGTCTACTTTTGGTGATTATTGAAATTAGCGGATGGAGTTTGCCCACAGACACCGAACTGGCGTTCACTCGAATCGACTCGTGTTTCAACCGAGTGTTAACTCCCCTTGCCTGAGTTGCGATTTCGCTTCCTAGCAGGTCTTTTGTGCTGTTGACGTCATCTGTCGTGTTCTGCAAGACCTTTTAAATCTTCCCAATAAATGTGCTACGCGTTATCACAAACGGTACACCTGCATTTACGAGGTTCTATTGTCTCCTCTACTTTTCGTGTGTAAACGAGACAAGTCGTTGTTTATATTCGAAGGTATTCTGAAACAGTCATTATCTGGCTCCTTAACCTAATCGAGTGTGTGTTAAGGCTAGGGAAGACCATTTCAAAAATTATTCCGCTTTGAAAATGTGAGTCTACCCTAACAAAACGGCTGCTCTGTCGATTCTATGTCGCAGAATTCCAGCGTTGAAAAGAGAGCCTTTATGTGCGGCTTTATGAACGAAAGTGAAGTATTGATTTTAAATTGGTGCAGCAGAAGCTTTCACCTGCGAAACGGCTCAGTTTTCATGCTGTTTGTCCACGGTGACATAGCTTGCACCTTAAACTACGATTATATCGCTAAAGTGGAACATGGAAGCCGGCGAAACGTTAACTTCATCTGAGTCACTTGACCTTTTCTTCTTTAATTCACACGGGTCTTTAAAATCGGAACATTCGACTGGATAAAATGATGGTTTGTGGGTGATTACTTCAAAACGCATCGAAAAGCATTCTTTGTTGAGCCTAATGGTAGTATTGACACAGTAGCTGAGTTCAGAATAATTGTACATTTTAGGAATATTTATGTTCGATTTCAACAATTTCGGGATCACAAATATTTCAAGCAAAAGATATCTTGGGTGATATTGTAGGAAGAAAGTTCAAAAAAGACCTTATTGTCGTCTCAGAACTTGGTCGTTAGGGTATCAATGATCCTCCAAGAGTGGAGTTTGAACTCAAATATGCGGAATCGCGCTTCGAGTAAGAACTGTTTATTCACTAGGTATAGCGACTACATATGTCTGCAGAGAGAGAGAGAGATTTAGACAAAGGATATGCCACAGCTGATCTCGCTCAATAAACTGGCTGAACTCAGATTATTCTTAAAGTTTCCGTGTGCACAAGATCTGCGGTCACCAAACCGTGTCTTAGGCAACAGTCGCCTCCGTCCTGAATTCTAGTTTCTAAACTCAATCACATTTGGTCAGCCATCCTGACTAAAATAGGAGGCAAGGCGAAAATAACCGTTTATTTGTGATTTTGTTTGTGTGAGTGGGCGGAAGGTAAGGAAGCTGACGGAAACATAGGTGAACTTAAACGTTCAATCGCCGTTGTGAGGACGACGTAACGGTATTAGATTTATAACACCGTGATTCGGTTTCAGTTAGAAGTCCAGCAAAATGCATTAGGTTCTCGCCACAATACAAAGCAGTTTGATCAGTGTGGAAGTTTTAGAGATTACGTCACGTGACATCCGTTTGACAGTTCAACAGCAATTATTAATGGTACCTGTTAATTCGTTGGGTAATAAATTACGAGAACAACTTGGACAGAAATGCTGCCAATGTCGCTCATGTTTCCTTTTTAACCTGCGAAGGGATCTGGTTTCGTGCTGGTCTGCTTTTAACATGTCAACCTACACCATCAAGTGTCGTTTTGGAGCGTTAGAAAGTCGCAAAGTTCCCTAAATTCCACTGAATTTTGTACGTAGGTGATCATGCCGACCATCGTTTACTGAAAGCCGATGGGTCTACGTCACGAGGTGTAAGCAGCCTTTTAAAGCCAGAATACCTTCGACAAAAGGCGTAGCTTTCGATAACGAGAACCGACTTCCTAACATTCTTGGGAATAATTTTAATTACACTTTCGAACTTGTATCATCAAAGCAAAACTTTGACTATCTGAATTGGGGTCGATCTTGGTGGGATCAAGCTTCCAATTGAAGTCAGCTTTACACGCGCATCTGACTCATTTTGATACGCAAGTACACGCCAATTCAAAAATGGCGGTTTCGAAGTGAAGTTGTAGGCAATTAAGAAAAGAGACAAGCGCATTGGATTAAGTTACAGGTTTGTAACACCGGGCCCGCTGTCGACGTTCAGTACACGTATTTCTTCAATGCTTAAAGCGCCCTGCCAAGTAGACACCACTACCACCCCAGTGCAAAGTAACTAAGGCGTGTCTCGCTTTTCCGGTCTATTGGTTGGCCCTGGGATATCGGGCGGGCAGGTGATTGGCCATCGAGCCGCAGACCTGTTGGTCTTGGCTCTGAACGATCAATCCACCTTTCTCGCTCGCCTGCTTTATCCAAATTAGACTGCGGAAACAGGTCGCCCAGTACTTAATAAGTAGAGCTCACGAAACGCGATCAGATGCTGCTTGGCTTAAGTTGGTGCAGAGACCTTAGGCTTCCCACGTATCCAGTTCATGTTTTTCAAATAATTACAGTGTATCTCTAAGCACTGTGTTGAGTTTACCAAGAACTAAATGTTTTTAGATGCAAAAAATTGAAATAATGTGGACAAGGTTCTTCTCGAAATCCGTCACCGGCATCGCAGGCTGCTGATTTCTCAGGCAAACAAGCGTGATAAATTCTTGAAATCGCACTATTCACTAGTCTCAAAAGCAGCATCCTAACGTCAAGTTACTGCCACCAACACATTTCTCTCTTTTCAAAACTAAACACTCGTGCTGCCTCGAGACTAGCTCACAGTGGTAAAGAAAAGAAATAGATATGATTATGGCAGTGACTTGGGGGATGTTTGTGAGCATTGTTGTGCTTGAATTTAGTTAATTCCCAGCATTCCTCCAAATGCTTTAGCATGTAAGATCTGCAGTCATAGGTTTCAGAAGTTAAGGTGATTAGTTAGCTTCAAGACACTGAGAGGAATGAACACATGCTTCATTATATACGGCCAAATCCCAGAAAATTTGAGCTGAAAATTTCCGGTATCACTGCTCGTGTGGCATCGAAAAATGGATGTCCCTTTGCTAGTAGCAACATTTAGAAACCAGAACTTCGGACTGGATCCACTCTGTTTTGCTCTTCAAAATAGATTGGGACCGGCCACTCGCGATAGTGTCAGTCCCAGTAAAAATCCCCCTTTTTACATATCAGTGATAACCTTGCAGGTCAGAGACCGATTTTTCGGCATGTGACGGTCACGTTTTCAAAGTGGCCTTAGATCTTTGCACTTTTTCCGTTAACCACTTAATTGGCGCATGATTCTGTCATCCACAACCGAACCGTGTTTTTAAAAAAAATGTTAGTCACCGGCCTACCCAACAAACCAATATATCGTGCGGCACATTTAGGATGAGATGCAGGGGCTAGGGAGTGACCCCGTGACGAATGTTTATTGGCAAAAATCTAGACTCTGAAGAATCACGGCATGCTTATCTGGTCTTACTTGGATAAAGCCTTTTCATTGTGTACATTGGCCACCTGGCCTGAATATCCTAAAACAGAAAGTCAGGCATGTTCTACGATCCAATTAATGTTGTGGACTTCTATAGTCACCATTTAAACATCTTTTGAGGCTGCTTCCTTTAGCTGGGAACATACTTTAGTCATCTTAGTAACATGGGCAGCGTACATCTGTTGGTGTGTTTTCTAACTTGACGGAACCCTTAACTACAACAGTAGAATTCAGGTAGCCCGGTTTCATGCGATTTTTAAGTATCGTGTAAAGTAAGATTCGGTCCTCGAAATTCACAACAAGAGCTGCCATATCACGAACGTTCTGTAGTGGCTTGTGATCTAGCGCTACCTTACAACCCTCCAGTTAACAGCCCAAACAACCCGAGAAGAGTGGAACATGAGGCGAGAGTGGTCACGCCAGCCAAGTGTGTCTAAGTGTGTGGATGAGCGAACGGATTGCAGTCATCTGGTAACAGTAACCAATGGAAAGGAGGTGAGTCATTGTTGCCGTCAGGTCAGTAAACAGGGTTCACTCAGACCTGATCGCTGTTAATCTTCCTTCGAGTAACTAATTTATTCTGAAAATATTCTCTGAGTGTTTAGGAGTCTGAATTGTAAGTGCGGAACCGTTTTTCAAGTTAGTG